TAGCTTGCTTCTTTATGGCTCTCAACCTCCTGTTTGCAAGATGGGCATTGTCAGTTTGGACTGCGGTTTTCAGTTACTTCCAAGGGGCACAAAACTTGCCCCAAAAAAGCAAAACAACTTGATTTTCTTTCATCTATCTTTTTTTCTTCTATTTCTTTTCTATTTTCTGCTGTTGATAACAAGACGCAAAATCTGATCAGAGACACAAGAAGCAAGGCCATGTCTGTCTCGTTCTAGTTCCAGCAGGGGTGAGTGATGGTTGCCGATGGGATCCCCAAGGGCGTCATTACCCTAAGGCCAAGTGAGGAGTCTATGATGCTAGCTTAACGGATGGTTCAGTATTAGCCTGTGTCTCTCCTTGTCTGTATATACTGCTAGTGAGTGGTTGTTGCAAAGGTACTCGCCAAATTGATGGACTGAATTTTGAATGTTGCTTAACCCTTCATTCTTTGTTGATTTTTGAAGTTGCTTAAAGGTTTTGAACTCTTGATAGCTCCTGTCAAACAAGGAAATGGTCAAATATTTTACTGTAGTGGTTGTTGGGTTTTATTGTGAGTCTCGTAATATATCTTCCAGTGTTGATTTTATTTACTTGATTTGAACCATAGATTGTGTTTGCATATTCCATGTTTGTAGTCTAAACTGAAAAATGCTGGTGCTGGGAACGGGGTTGGATTGTTGTGTGTTGTTGTCATACTTATATTTGTTGTTTTGTGATTATCAACATCCTCCACATATGTCAATGAATTTCGTTATGATTAGAGCCAAGAGTGTGAAACTGAAAACCATTTCAGAAATTGCATTCTAAAAACAGTATATTCAAAGGTAAAGGCATTATTCTGGCATTAAGAGATGTTGTGGCGGACCTAAGAAGGGCAGGGTCTGTTCGTACTGTGATGGGAGACCTCTACCACAGTGGTTGCTTCAGTGTCCTCAGGGCAGCTGTGGCTTCAGTAGTAGTTTATCACCACCGTGTATGGAAAAATTTGAAATGTCATCTTCAGTAATGATACGATAAAATAGAACTGTGGCTAAAGTTACATTAATTGGAAATCTTTTTATTTAAATTTTTATATCAACTATTTCCAGCCCTGGTTTGAACCAGCCCCTTCCCCGTTGCTCTTCCATACAAGCTTGTCGTCTGATGGTCCTCTCAGCTCGGTCTCTCTTGTCTCTAGTTCGCTGCCCTACATGTTGTAACCCCCTGAGTCCTCGTGCCCTTGACCCAGTCTGAGCCTCACCCGCATCACACCCTCCTCCCTTCAACCCTCAGAGACCCAGTGGACAAAGCCGCGGTCAGGAAGGTTTCTGAGACCAGAGCAATCTACGCACAAACTGGTTTTTTGTTGTATTTTTGTCCTTGTCGATGCAGGAGGGTTTAAAACATTTTATTATACGTCTTTATCATGCTTAAGATAGAGATGTTTAACTTGTTTCTTTGAGGCTAGAGATAGAGATTTAGTTTTATCTTATTTAGTATAGAGTTATTGTTCCTACTGTTCTGTAACTTGCGATGCAACATTGACATTTCCTCACTGTGGGACAAATGAATGGTCTCTTAATCTTAATCTTTACACACAGGGGTGATAATCCAGGACACTTACTGTTTGATTCTCTGATCTGTGTTGACTAATTATAGACAGTTTTGTAAAGTCCTCCAAGATGTTGAGATTTTGGCAAAAAAAAAAAAAAAAAGAAGTGGTCGTTGAATCAGTCATACAACCAGTCTCAAAAATGTTACATTATTCTAAACTAAAACCATAAACTAAGTTCTATTCATTTCAGAGTATTTGACAGAGTCCAGATTTACACAGGGCACAATAACATGTTTATCAATGTCAGAACTAGTTTTAAATAATTTGATAGTGTATAAGTTTGTGTAGGAAATATTGCAGATGACGTGTTGTGTGTCTTGTGTTTGAATTTGTGAGATGGGATTAGAATAATAAAAGCAATCTCATTTCCCCTTTTATCCCCCTGTATATTTTTTTTGCTAATGTGTGTAAATAGAAGAAGAATAGAACAGAATAGAATTGTTGTCGATGAAAATACAAAAAAAAAAAAGTCATATACAATCCATAACTGTGGTGTCTCATACTATAAATGTATACTACAGATTGACACTAGTTTGAAGTGATTTGAACTAGAATAAATGTAAACAGTTTGGCGTAGCCCTAAATAACAACATCGGTCGTCTGGGAGAACTTTACAAAGTTGTCGATTCGCAAACAGCAGATCAGAGAATCCAACAATTTGCCTTTGGTTCATAGGGAGCAGGAAGACCTCTGTTCTTAAATATCCTGGATCATGGCTGTCCTTAGAGTCTCCTGCATCTGTAAGCACGATAAAAAACCCAACAGGGATCAAAAAGACGTCTTATTTCGGGACAAGGACAATCGCAGCCATCTTTGGATATATTTTTTCCTTTTGTTAATCATAATTAGCGACACCTCGTACATCGTTTTATATTACCTTCCCTTTTTCTAATTATCCCTAAAGACCTTCTCCTCATAATAAAGCCGGCGGATTGATTGATATTCCGGCCGCGCCCCTCTTCGCGGACAGCTTGACTCACTTGATTAATTTGAATCTGCTCAGGTGAAGTTGGGACGCACTCGTTAAAGAGACAGTCGGAGATAATGAGTGAGAAGGACGCGGTAATGGAGCTTCCGGAGCCGTTTGGAGGACGCCTGGTTTGCCGGGTGTGCGACAAACTTGAGGCCTGAGGGCTGATTGCGGTCCTCTGCGTGACTGTGCATGGCCCTGTTGTCACGGAAGCAAAATGAAAAAAAGAAACAAAAAACACTACGCTGGATAGAAATAAGTATGAAATCAAAGCAAATGCAAAATAAAAATCCAGCGTTAATAGAAAAAAATAAAGAACTAAACCTGGGCAAAGACAAGCACTAGACAAGATGTTACGCAATTTTAAATTGTTTTAATGATCCAAAAACAGATAAAAAAAATACAAGGATACAATACATAAAAGGAGCACAAAAAAACTGCTCTCATGACACAAAACCTGGAGTCGACAATGACGGAACTGGGAATGGAGGAAAATACAGGGGTTGAATACACTCAACATTTGATAGATAATTCATGAAAAAATACGTAAAAGTTTGCTCAAATATGGCAAAGCGTGTCTTAATTTGAGCACATTCTGACTGAGCCTAAACCAAGATTGGCCAACAGGACAAAGCAAAATGTTCTTGTTTTAAAAAGATACAAGAAATGTCCCCTTGAAATGAGAAAATATAGCCACAGTTCTTGAATTAAGACTAAATGGCGTTGTACCATTGGAGACAAAGCAGGTTTATTCTCTGATCTGTTGTTGGCGAATCAACAACTTTGTGAAGTCCTCAGAGTGGACTTCTGCTGTGATTTAGAGCGTGAAGAATTGAACCCCAAAAATCCACTTCACATGATACAGAAACGATTTGCGTGTGTGAGTGTGTGTGTGTGTGCATGTGCGTGTGTGTGTGTGCGTGCGTGTGTTATAGGATTAGCAGCAGCAGCAGTGGCTTGAATGGATTGTTAGATTATTGGAGGATTTCATGGATGATGATAAATGTTTTGATGAAGGAGCAGAAACATGGAATGGTTTAAAGAAATGAGTTCTCTACAAAGACCTTTAAGGCTTTGCTGGGTCTAAGAGAGATGTTGTTGTAAAATATTTAATTTTTTTGGGGTTTTTTAGTTTGTGTAGAAAGGGGGCAGAGAGAGCTCAGAGAGAGACAAGAGAGAGAGTGAGACCAGAGAGAGACTAGAGAGATACCAATGACCAGAGAGATATCAGCGAGAGACCAGAGGGAGTAAAGAGAGAGAGACAAGAGAGAGACCAGAGAGTGCCCAGAGAGAGACCAGAGAGAGTGAAACTAGGGAGAGACTAGATAGAGACAAGAGAGAGACCAGAGAGAAACCAGAGAGAGTGAGACTAGGGAGAGACCAGAGAGTATATAATGTGTATTATATACAGTAAGACTCATGCAGGCGACAAAAACAGTGATAATTGCTAGTTTTATGTTCTAATCACTCTACAGCAGGGGTGCTCACACTTTTTCAGCATGCGAACTACCTGTAAAATTATCTACCTTCTACAAAAATGCAAAACATATACGTATTTATTTCTGAATATATTGAGAATTCTTTATATCTACAATGTATGTTGATGTACATGCAAAACCGCATGATTTTATGAAATAATTTGCATCCACACATAACCGAACATCTGCGTTTTCAATCACATTCATAACATTCCAAACATGTGCGTCTCTGACGTCCTGCGTTGGGGAAAAACCACAGAAGTGGGCGGAGCTTTGATGCAGACGCCGGTACTTCTGTAGCGGCACTTAGTCATAGAAGAAACTCAGGGTAAAGACATATGTTCATAAGCACTGAGCCCCGTCCTCAGCCCTGGTTTGATCCTGGTTTAGCTCCTGTTTTGGTTGTTTTCGAGCGTGAGTCCCCGTGATCACTTTGCTGCTCTCTGATGTGGAGGATGTTCGCTGCTGTGAACCGCTCGCAGCAGCGAACAGTTTTTAAGGCAGTAAGATTCATCCTTCAGTGATCAGAGGTCGCACGTCTTGTTTGTTGTTGTTTTGGGAGCATACTGTGGCGTGCGAAAACGCAAAACTCCGGTTATCTCTGTCTACACACAAATGCATAAACGGATATTTCTTTTAATGTAATGCGATCTACCAATACTACCTTTGCGATCGACTGGTAGATCGCGATCAATGTATTGAGCTCCCCTGCTGCTCTACAGTATGTGTCTGTATCTCGCACCATCGTGTCCAATCCATCTCAGGCTTTGATCACACAACCATCTTTCCAATCAACACAACTTCAACACGACAATCACTTCCCTCATAATTAAAACTCACGAGCAAACCCAGTCCAAGGTTTATTTTTAGCCCTCGCCGGTGACCGTCTCTGCTCCAATTAGCGTCCGTGCCTGTGCGGCGGAGGTTTGGGTTGCGAGAATGATGACTTGTAAAGACTCAGCGCACCCATGGGAGACCGCGGCCCGTGGGTACCTGGCCGCCGGACCCCTTCCCGGCCGTGGCGATGACTGGATTGATGGCGGTGGCGGCAACACTGACCCGTTCGGAGCTTTTTCCTTTTTTTCCTCTGCGGTGTGGAAAGGCGCAGACGTCCTCTTCCTCTCTCTCGCCGGACGGTGATGTATGGCACTGTGGTGTAATCAAAGAGTGTGTAGCCGAGGTAATGGAAGACAACAAAAGGAAAAATATCTGTAGGACTGACCCGCGGCACCCGGAGGCTTCGCTGAGGGAGAGTGGGCAATGTTTCTCTCCTTCTTTTTGCTACGCTAAGCCATGTATTCGGTGACTGTGGTTTATGCTAATAGCAGCGGCGTGTGCACATGCTTTATTTTGATGGATGACTTATTCAAATTGGGCACATATAGAGGAAATTATAATTTTATAATGCAGTATGCACAGTGTTTTCTGCATGTTTGAGACCACTTTGTCTTTCATGGTTCGATTTTATCTACGTAATTTTATTTATATACCGCCTTTCACAGACCAGAGTCCCACTCCACATAGAGAGAGCGGTCGCCAGTACAGGAGGCACATGCCAGATCTATTGTATATGTTTTTAGTGGTAGGGGAAACTGGAGCATCCGGAGGAAACCTATGCAGACACGGGGAGAACATGCAATGTCCACGCCGGCCCTGTTCTGACCAGGATTTGAACCCATGATCTTCTTGCTGAGAAGCGAAAGTACTATCCACTCAACCACCGTGCTGCCCAATTTATTTTTTAGTAGCCCTAAATCACAGTAGTTATGTTTTGTTCTGTTATTATTATTTTTTGTATTTGATTAAAGACGATAAAAATCAAGACGGACAAACAATAAGTACACAAGCACAACAAAGATACACAAGCAAGGACAGAGACCAGAGAGAGACCAGAGTGAAACCAGAGTGAGACCAGAGAGAGACCCGAAAGTGACCAGAGAGAGACAAGAGAGAGACCAGAGAGAGACCAGAGAGTGACCCGAAAGTGACCAGAGAGAGACCAGAGAGAGACCAGAGAGAGACCAGAGAGAGACCAGAGAGAGAGACCAGAGAGAGACCAGAGAGAGACCAGAGAGAGACCAGAGAGAGACCAGAGAGAGACCAGAGAGAGACCAGAGAGATAGCAGAGGGCTGTTTTGACCCTGAGTTTGCGTTGTTTTGGTCAGAATCCTGTTATTTTTTTTGATCACAGCTAATCGAGCGTTTCCCATCGTCCCGCTCTGATCCCTTTGCTCCAAACTAATCCCACTATTCAGAAGTCGGTGGTAAAACTATACGCACGCTGTAATACTGGATGGGATTAGCGTTTCTGTGGCTATACTCTAAGATTATTTTAAACCATCCCAATCAGATTATGGTTTCATTCACTGTATGTGGAGACTGTTTTTTGTGCTTTGAGTCAAAAGTTTGAGAGCGAGATGGAAAATATACGTGGCTTTTGGGGTATTAACCTAGATTTGTACAGGAATTACACAATACATGAAACTTGTTGATTAAAAAGGCTGAGTCCGTGGTTCTGATATTAGCTTCAGTCTGTCATGCAACATAGACGCAAAGAACAGAGTAAAAATAAATGAAAGGCTTTGTCTAGTTTAGGTTGTTGAATTTAATATTTATATGGATTTTACCTCCAGAGAATGTTAGGCGGTGGTTAGAGCTTGTGCCTCACAGCAAGAAGGTCCTGAGTGTTCGGTTTCACCTCTAGATCTGTGTGGAGTTTACATGTTCGCCCCATGTCTGTGAAGGTTTCCTCCGGGTGATACGGTTTCCCCCTACCACTATAAACTTGAACAGCAGGTCTGGCATGTGCCTCCTGTACGGCGACCTGCTCCAGGCCCCTGACTGCAGACCCCAGACCCAGGCCGCAGACTACAGACCCAGGCCGCAGACTCCAGCCCCAGACCGTAGACTCCAACCCCAGATCCCAGACCAAGACCGCATACCCCAGACCATAGACCCCAGAGCGTAGACCCCAGACCATAGACCCCAGAGCGTAGACCCCAGAGCGTAGACCCCAGCCCCAGCCCCAGAGCGCAGACAACAGACAACAAACCGCAGACCCAGACCCCAAACAACAGACTGCAGACTGTGGGGTGGGCTGAGAGAAATGACTGGCGATATCTGGACTAGCTTTGGCTTCCTCTTCCTCGCGGGGTCTTCCACCGCCGTAATCTCCCCCACAACATCTGCTCCAAGACTGGGCCATTCTCGCCAACATCCTGGGCGTCTCTCCACCGTCCAAAAAGCTCCAGGCTATTCCCAAGATTTAAAACAAAAAAATACAAAATGTTTAGCTCTGATCTAGCGTCGGTGCTGAAGGATTTGTTTTTGTGGTGGTTTTTACAGAGAGGTGAATAAAAGATCAATTGTTTTAGGCTTGGGGAGGGATTTTGGACTGTGTGCGTTTATGGTTCAATGGTTAGTATGAAATGAAATTGACATGGTTGTTTTTAATCTTTAGAGAGAGACCAGAGAGAGAGAAGAGAGAGACCAGAAAGAGAGAGATACCAGAGAGAGAGAAAGAGAGAGACAGCAGCAGAGAGAGACACTAGAGAGAGAGGCAGAGAGAGAGAGAGAGACCAGTGAAGAGAAAGAGAGAGAGAAAGACAGAGATACGGGAGAGAGAGAGTTGTATTTTGTAGCTCTGAAGCAGGGCAGGGTCTGGTCAGTAGTAAGTAATCTTTATTTATATACCGCCTTCTCACTGCAGATCTGAGTCTCAAAGCGATTTACTATTGTTAATTTTGGGCATTTGTCTCTCACTCCACACAGAGATGGGAGCGGGGTCGCATGCCAGAACTATTGGACATACAGTGTACTTTTAACATTTTGCCACATTTCAGGCTTCAAACATAAAGATATAAAAATTATTTTTTGTGGGACACAATCGTGAAGTCGAACAACATTTATTGGATAATTTAAACTTTTTTAACAAATAAAAAACTGAAAAGTGGGGCGTGCAATATTATTCGGCCCCCTTGCGCTAATACTTTGTAGCGCCACCTTTTGCTGCAATTACAGCTGCAAGTCGCTTGGGGTATGTCTCTATCAGTTTTGCACATCGAGAGACTGGAATTCTTGCCCATTCTTCCTTGCAAAACAGCTCGAGCTCAGTGAGGTTGGATGGAGAGCGTTTGTGAACAGCAGTCTTCAGCTCTTTCCACAGATTCTTCATTGGATTCAGGTCTGGACTTTGACTTGGCCATTCTAACACCTGGATACGTCTATTTGTGAACCATTCCATTGTAGATTTGGCTTTATGTTTTGGATCATTGTCCTGTTGGAAGATAACTCTCCGTCCCAGTCTCAGGTCTTTTGCAGACTCCAACAGGTTTTCTTCCGGAATGGTCCTGTATTTGGCTCAATCCATCTTCCCATCAATTTTAGCCATCTTCCCTGTCCCTGCTGAAGAAAAGCAGGCCCAAACCATGATGCTGCCACCACCATGTTTGACAGTGGGGATGGTGTGTTCAGGGTGATGAGCTGTGTTGCTTTTACGCCAAACATATCGTTTTGCATTGTGGCCAAAAAGTTCGATTTTGGTTTCATCTGACCAGAGCACCTTCTTCCACATGTTTGGTGTGTCTCCCAGGTGGCTTGTGGCAAACTTTAAACGAGACTTTTTATGGATATCTTTGTGAAATGCCATTTTTCTTGCCACTCTTCCTATGGACAGACTCTCTCACCTCAGCTGTAGTTATCTGCAGTTCATCCATAGTGATCATGGGCCTCTTGGCTGCATCTCTGATCAGTCTTCTCCTTGTTTGAGATGAAAGTTTGGAGGGACGGCCGGGTCTTGGTAGATTTGCAGTGGTCTGATACTCCTTCCATTTCAATATAATTGCTTGCACAGTGCTCCTTGAGATGTTTAAAGCTTGGGAAATCTTTTTGTATCCAAATCCGGCTTTAAACTTCTCCACAACAGTATGTCGGACCTGCCTGGTGTGTTCCTTTGTCTACATGGTTCTCTCTGCGCTTTAAACAGAACCCTGAGACTATCAAAGAGCAGGTGCATTTATACGGAGACTTGATTACACACAGGTGCATTCTATTTATCATCATCAGTCATTTAGGAAAACATTGGATCATTCAAAGATCCTCACTGAACTTCTGGAGTGAGTTTGCTGCACTGAAAGTAAAGGGGCCGAATAATATTGCACGCCCCACTTTTCAGTTTTTTATTTGTTAAAAAAGTTTAAATTATCCACTAAATTTCGTTCCACTTCACGAATGTGTCCCACTTGTTGTTGATTCATGACAAAAAATTGAAATTTCTTCTTTCTTCTTTCTTTCTTTATGTTTGAAGCCTGAAATGGCAAAAATTTGAAAGGTTCAAGGGGGCCAAATACTTTCGCACTGTATTTTTAGTGGTAGGGGAAACTGGTGTACCCAGAGGAAAACCTACGCAGACACAGGGAGAACATGCAAACTCCACTCAGAAAGGCCCTGGTTTGACCGGGATTCGAACCCAGGACCTTCTGGCTGAGAGGCGAGAGTGCTATCCACTCAGCCACCGTGCCGCCCAGTACTGTGATGTTACAGAGGGGCGGGGCTGTAAAGTGCCAAACTGTTGCTGTGTCCTTAGGCAAGACACTTCACCCACATTGCCTTGAATGAGTCTGGTGTGAGTGATTATTATTATTAGTTTATTTGATATGGACATATCAACTGCATTGGACAAACCAGATACATTGTTTCCAGTGTTATAGCAAAACTGCTAATTTGCAACACCTGTCCATAGGAGGCTACACATTTCAAAAAACACAATACAATACAGTACAATATTTAAAAAGGTAAACAATACACAATTACACATCATCAGTATACATTTCATACAGTGTTACCATGTGAGCAGTTTTGACTTGACTTCAGCCATTGATGGTCGAAGAGTCAATGAAGCAGACTGGTTGTCTGCTTTCTGTCAGTGTCGCATCAAAGCCCCCAATCAACAGCATTCTCTCACTCTCTCTCTTACATTCAGGCCGATTGTGCAAGTTTTTTTTTTTGTGGTAGGGGAAACCGGAGCACCCAGAGAAAACTTACAAAGAGAACATGCAAACTCCACTCAAAAAGACCCTGTTCCAATCAAGATTTTAACCCAAGATCTCAGCCACAGTGTCGTCTATCTGTGGCTACAGTACTAGTTCATCCCCACAGTGTATGGAGTGAATGAATAATGTGAAGTGTCATTGTGTGTCCCAATAACGCAGATAAAACCAATGCATTATTAAAACTAGCCAAATATAATAGTTTTTTCCAACACATTTGTAGAGTATATAGATGAACATAAAAAGCCAATTATTTTTCACATTAATAGAGTGTTATTAGCAGCTTGGCCTCTCACCGCTCTCTCACAATAATAGCATTTCTTTTTTTCATCCAAATTCTACTTTCTTTTCTCCAGCGCAGCCTCTAGTGTTTGCATTTGATTTATTTACGACTCCCTCTGTCGAGAGTTTGCTGAGAGCGTTACAGCTATATTCCTTTGCACTTTTGTACGCTGAAATTATGTGCATTGTCCCGACTCTCTCTCTCTGGACAAAGAGACAGAGCCGAGAGCTTCCCAGTGGATCCCATCGCTGTGGCGTATATACACTCTACACATATAAATTCATTTTTTATTGTTTTCATTTCGTCTGGAGCTAATTTATGCCCGGTCAGGGAGGCCTGTCGACTGGGTAAGCCTCGGCGTGTCTAGCGATTTGGTTTTGTTTACGGCGCTATCCGTGAGCTTTTTTTTTGGTTTTGTTTCATGGAGACGCCACCTGTCTGTAATCCTGACGTCTTATTCTAGACGTAGACTTGGTTCAAAACTGCGGGCAGAAGATAAACTGAGAAAGACGAGGAGGAGAAGGCAGGGGATGGGTCTATAGGGGGAAACAGTAGTAGTTTATAGTAGACAATATAGACAGTAGCTCAGTTGGTAGAGCAGTGGCCTTTGAGCCTGGAGGTTGTGAGTTTGATTCCCACCATGGGACCTACTCCAACTGCTCCCACTGATGTCTACTGTCAGTGGGAGCAAGACACCCCATGTTGCCTGAAGACCCCACTGAAAGACCAAGGCTGTTTCACCACTGACAGAGCAGCCATCTTCCTGTGGACTCACCCCCTGCAGAGGATCAGAGGGACTGGTGCTATGAGCAATGGGTGGCAGCTCTCATTTCCACCCCCCTGACCCAGAAATGGACAATAAAGGGCTTGAAAATGAAATGAGTAGTAGTTTATCACCACTGAGTTAGGGTTCATTTGCAAAAACACTCAATTCTCCGTTTTGTGAAAATCTGTCAAAAATCAGTTTGAACTTGTTTTTTTATTGGCGATAGATTTGAAACTCAAAGAGGGAGGATGTTAAACATTAAAAACAATTGCAATGCTACTTATTTGTTTTTTAGCAATTTAAGTTTTAATCTCTTATCTTGTCTTCTGGTGTCAGTCTGTGTCTTGATCTAGTGGGGACCTTGATTCTAAAACAGGGGTCTCCAACCAGTAGCTCTCCACCCCCTTCCAATAGCTCGTCAAAATGTTTTATGTTAAGTTATGTGTTTTCAAATATTAATGGAATTGACCAGATGCCTAAAGCGTCCAAATGTTAATAACAAATATTTTGGAGCGGGCCGCTAAAAATAAACCAATAGGATTCATTCATCCCCAACGAACCAATGGGATGCGTTTCCCCCCTTCACCCTCTTCCTGTTTCTCACGAGTGCACCTGAGTTATCGGATTTCCTAAAACCTAAAATGGCTGAACCGAAAAAGCCTACGTCACGTTTGCCGCTGTCAGGAATGAAACAGACAGAGAAAACTCAGCAAATCAGAGACACTCAAAGCATATCATAGTCGTAACATGGATGCACAATCAAAGTCTGCGTATAGTGTCTTGCGCTTGTCCTGCACGTAGGCCAAATAACTATCTAATGCTGATACTGCCCACTCTCCCTGTTGTGACAAAGAAAAGAAAATTCTGGATGTTTGGTTTGGTGGAGAGGGAGGGGAGGGGGAAGTGGTTTCCAGTCGGTGCTACGGCTAACGCTAAAACAAAATTGCTTACTGCACCTTTAATGAAGTAGCTCTCTAAAGTAGGTCTGCGGGTGAAAAAGGTTGGAGACACCTGTTCTAAGCTAAGAAAAGATCATGAAAAGGTCATTATTATGCAGACGTTCACATCAAACCTGCAGTAATCCTTTGACTTAACACAGCTATAACAGT